TAAAAAATGCTACAAAGATTCACAGTGCTGTCATTTTCTTCGTATCAAAATTTCCATATTTTCTTCAATGTATCACTTTTCACATCTTCAATATTTTCCACAAATTCTTCAAAATCTACAATAAAATTAAAAAAAATTGATTAATGCTAGAACACTCACAAAAATGCACATGTATATATATCATGTAAGATTCACATGTGATTATATCATGTAAGATTCACATATTGATTATATAATGTGATATTCACATGTGATTGTATATTTTAAGATTCAAATTTGAAATTGACAAGAAAATTTAAAAAAATAATTAACGAAGAACACACACACAAAATGCATGTGTGCATCTAGACGTAATTCATATGTGATTCACTTGTGATTTAAATGTTAATCACATGTAATTCATATGTTATTCACTTGTGATTTACATGTAAATCACATGTAATTGATATGTGATTACATGTGACTTACATGTGATTCATATGTGAATTACATGTGAATCACATGTAATTCATATGTGTTTCACTCGTGATTTACATGTGAATCACATGTTATTGATATGTGAATTACATGTGAATCACATGTACTTCATATGTGAATTACATGTTATTTACATATGAATCACATGTAATTCATATGTGTTTCACTCGCGATTTACATGAGAATCATATGTAATTCATATGTGAATTACATGTTATTTACATGTGAATCACATGTAATTCATATAACTCTTGATTTACATGTGAATCACGTCTGATTCATATGTAAATTAATTGTGAATCACATGTAATTCATGTGAATTACAAGTGTATCACATGTAATTCATATGTGTTTCACTCGTGATTTACATGTGAATCATATGTGATTCATATGTGAATTACATGTGATTTACATGTGAATCACTTGTAATTCATATGTGAATTACATGTTATTTACATGTGAATCACATGTAATTCATGTGTTTCACTCATGATTTACATGTGAATCACATGTGATTCATATGTGAATTACATGTAATTTACATGTGAATCACATGTAATTCCTATGTGATTCATGTATGATTTACATATAAACTAAACTTGAGTGCTTTTAAAGATGATCAAACAAGTAACTTTGTGCTCATAGGGAAACGGGATGACAGTTTCAACAAAGCACTCAAACACATAGCTCTGGTAGTAAGATCCTATGTGTGGTATTTGATTGCAAGTTCAACAACATCATTTTCAGTTACCTATCCATGAAAACTCAAAAATTAACAAATATATCATGTGCATAATATGTTAATTGTCATAAGAAAGACAGAAAGAAAACTAACAGTTATAACAATCAAACACATCAACAACATAATTTTCAGTTACCTGTTCATAAAAACTCAAAAATTAACAAATATATCATATGCATAATATGTGAATTGTCATAAGAAAGACAAAAAGAAAACTAACAGTTATAACAATCAAACACATCAACAACATCATTTTCAGTTAACTGTTCATAAAAACTCAAAAATTAACAAATATATCATATGCATAATATGTCAATTGCCATAAGAAAGACAGAAAGAAAACTAACATTTATAACAATCAAACACATCAACAACATAATTTTCAGTTACCTGTTCATAAAAACTCAAAAATTAACAAATATATCATATGCATAATATGTCAATTTTCATAAGAAAGACAAAAAGAAAACTAACAGTTATAACAATCAAACACATCAACAACATCATTTTCAGTTAACTGTTCATAAAAACTAAAAAATTAACAAATATATCATATGCATAATATGTCAATTGTCATAAGATGACTTATTTCAATGAAAATTTTAGAAAATTAAACTAAAAAATCCACATAACTAATGAATTATAGGAATTAAAAGTTAGAGAAATGTTCAGTACCTAGAAATCTAAACATTGAGAAAAATTGTTGGCAGTAATTTCTTCAGGCATTAGAAGAAGTAATAAGCCAGCAAAAAAATTCATGGCCTGAATGTAATACAACAGATTAGCATCATTAAGCAATTTCATTACATTTCACATAATCTATAAGAATATCTAAAAAAAATATACAATATTAGTTGTCAAATGAGTTGAATGCGGACCTGGAAGTAACCAACAGAGGGATTATGGCGAGCATATGTGGTGAGTAAACGTCTCAAAACATTTCTACCACCTTCATCTAGAGCAGGGTGACCTGGAAAAGTCTGAGGCAAATCCTGTAAAAATAAAACAGTATATCTGATCTGATTAGGAATTGTACAAAAAAACTAGGATTAATGTATCAAGACACTAACCCTTTAACATATTTGATGAATATCATGAAGATTTATCCAATCGTACAACACTATAAAAAAACCAATAACTCAAATTTCAGCCACTTTAGGTAGAATGATATAGTTAGTACCTGTGTGATGGCTTTATTGGCAACGAGTTCATCGACATTTCCGATGTTGACTTGGACAGAATCCTAAATTGGAATTGGTTCATCATTCATGAAGTCAAAGTGAAGTTAACATGTGATATTTCTCATTGAGGCATTTCATCGAACATGTTGAGTGTAAACAAATATCTGTATTTTTCAATAACACATGTGTCTATTTTTATACCTACAATCAACACAAGGATTTAACTCTTTTTAAAAAACATATTGATTAAACTGGTTCAACTTAACAATTAGGCAAAAATAATTCATAAAGGTAAAACAAAGGCCAGGAGTCAACAATAGAAACAAATGATACCTAAATTTTGATCGACAAGGGATCATCTTCTTCGTTCAGGTCTTCAATCCACAGTGGAGGCCGAGATGAAGTCGATGATTACGGTGTACACTGGGGAATGAATTGATGGAGGATAAAACGATTCAAAATCATAGCATCTTCACTAGAGTTTTTTCTATGAAGAACGTGAGATCAAGGAGTTCAGCAACAATGAAACTTCGATCGTTGGAGGATTTCATATTTCATATAGATTGATGATCGATGATGATAGTTTGATCGATTGGGATCTGGAAATCGACGATAAATGTGGTTCGTCATTTATCTTCATCGTATTCGTGTGAGTAGAAGCAATTTCAAAATCGAAAGCATGGAATTGGATGAAGGATTGAAGGCAATTTGACGGAGGTGAGTTGTCGGAGGATGGATCGTAGGTTTGAGCGAGAGAGGAAAAGGGGGAGGAGAGAGAGAGAGAGAGAGATGAAAATTATTTTATCAGATATTAGATTTAAGAAATCATTTAATTATATTTTTATTGCTATAATACTACTGAATGAATTAATTAAGATACCCCTCCTTTTTTTGTCTACTTATTTATAAAAACGCCACTTTGCATCTCGATCCTTCATTTTTTTGATCCAACGTTCCACCTTTACTTCTCGGGATCTCGGGAATCTTTGAGTTCTCAAATGATCCTTCCTGTGTATATATATATATATATATATATAGATAGGGAAAAGTTCAATAGAGAACCATAATTATTGGTTCTTCAAGGAACCAAATCTTTTTTTCAATTTCTAGAGCTTATTCTTTATCGAAAAAAAATCTAAAAATATCTAAATTTATATATTAACATTGTGAATGTGAAAAATATTTTTCGGATTCACCGTGTGAATCCGGATTCACATTGTGAATTTTCAAAGATTCACATTGTGAATTTGACGTAAAAAAAAATCGAATTTAATATCATTGGAAAAAGGATAAAAAGTTATGAATTTCTGTATTTTTAGTTTTTTTTTTGATAAAAAATAAGTTCTAAAAGTTGAAAAAAAGATTGGATCCTTGGTTAATTATGGTTCTCTATTGAACCTCACCCTATATATATATATATATATATATATATATATATGGTAAAAAAAGTTTTGTGATCTCTAAGTATTTTTTTTATGCATTTTTATGATTTTTAGGGTTTTTTTGTTTTCCATAGAACCTAAACCTCTCTCTCTCTCTCTCTCTCTATATATATATATATATATATATATATATATATATATATATATATATACTAGCCGTTTACCCGCGCCAAGCGCTGGGTGCAAATGTTTTTAAAAAATTAATTTGTAGAGACGATTAATTCTTTTGCGGAAACAATTTTTCCAATAACATCTAAAACATATCAAAAATAGTATAAATTTAATTTGTCTTATGCAATTAATAAAAACAAAATATATATAATTAAATTTATAAATGTACCATTCATCATTCTTCGTTGGCTAAAATCTCTTGCGAGACTTGTGATAGATGAACATAATGGATAATGTGGAAATGAATCGGCAACATCATTTCTCAAGCAAGTAAATATTGTGTTAATTTTTATCATTATTGCCCGATCACTAAAGAAAACTCTATAACTCTGGTACGTGGGGTGATCTTCGTAAAAGTGCTCAACATGGAAATGATTTAAGGAGAATACATGTCCAACCAAAATCATGTTCAAAAATGATCGCCTCAAACATTGTGGGACAATGGTGATTATTTTGTCTCTCTGGATATGTAATATATTAACAATTATGTAAATTATAAATAGAACATTAGACAAAAGAAAGTGACATATTTATTTTATTGTATTCATACTTATGTTACGATCAATCAACAAAATCAGGACTATGTTATTTTCAACGCCGCCCCACACATATAAAACTTGAACAACTAATATGTTCCACCATATATAAACGCTTCTCAACGTCGAAAAATCTCGAACAGTAGTATGACCATTCATTACTGATAAATTGCATGTTAGTATGTAATATAATTAGCTTTTGTTTTGTATGATAATTTGTAAATAAACAAATATATTTATAAATATTGTTTTTTTTTGTTCTTTTTGAATGCAATGTATTAAATATTTATATAAAATTATCATAATTAATTTAATGTGATAATAACAAAATCATTTTTAAAATATTCCACATTAGATTTGTTATATTTGTGTCTTTGATTATACGAAAATAAACCAAACATATTTTATATTTAATTAATTGATACATAAGTGTTGAAAGACATAAGTCACATATATGCAGGGCAAATTACTCTTTCTTTTTCTAACCCTAACCAAAACGATACCATCTATGTCACTCTTTCTTTCACCGACGAATCATCCCTTAACAATTCTCGCATCACCAATGACCTACGACCAAACGATCAAGAGATCCAGCGACCTCCGATGCGCTCTTTCACACCCAAATACTTTATGCACGTCAATATTCTCCCAACAAACGCCGCAACCACCACCACCAGAAACTGCCACCGACTACTCATCTCTATCCCCTCTCTCATATGGATCTGCACAACAATCGCACCACCGAGGTATGTTGATATTGAATCTGGACATAAACACAAAATGAAGGATATGCAATCGATGTTTGGGAGGGAAAACAGTTGGATTGTTTTGACACTGTGCGAGTGCGTATTTGTTGTTGCTTCTCTTGCTGTGACGGCGTCTGATTATGGATTCTCTACCTCTAATTACCTCTGGTCTGACTCCGCCCTCTATCTCTTTCTCTCAACCATATATGTAAAATAAAAGCCCTAAACTAAGCAATTTTTGTATATTTTCAGTTAAATCCAGGAGAAGCCAGCTGAAGTTTTTTTTATACTCAAAATCGCTTCTTCTTCACACATATGTGTTTATTTACTGATGATGGTTCTTTACACGGTTCTGAGATAAGGTACATATATCCAGTTGTTTAATTTTACATGAATTTTACCCTGATTAAGTTGTCTCAGCTGATGAATTGATGTTCATTCGATACATATCGTGTGTTTACACACCCTTCGATTGTCTTTGTTCTATTTTACTGTGATTGTTGGCTTTATTTATCATTCTATTAATAGAAAGTAATAATTTTTTTATAGCTTTGAAGGATTATGTTTAGTTGGTAAATCAAAAAATAGATGTTTAAATATTGTAGGTGTTATATAACCTGAAGATTATTTACTTCAAGTACCTAAGGTCTAAATATTATATAAACCGAATAATATATAGTGATAATTATTGCATTTCCATGTCAATTATAGAATATTTTTATTTAATGTGACATATTTTTAATTAATGTGAGTTATAGCAACTTAGTTTCATGTTAATGTCATTCATAGCCTTCAACTTTCAATTTAATATCGATTATAGCATTTTACTTTCATTTGTTTTTGAATTATAGCATTCGACTATCAAAATAATGTCATTTATAGCATTCTACTTTCCAAAAATAGTCTTCTTTGAACTGTGGTTTCGAAATGAGTTTTTTTTATATCGAATTTTTTAAATGTAACTTTTCTTAAATGAACAAAATACCAAAATGCTTTTATATATTCAACTTTCTGGAATCATTAAATTATAGCATTCTATTATGTAAAATTCTATTTTTTAGAATTTTGAACATAGACCGGAATTTTTAAAAAAAATCTTTTATAGCATTCTACTTTTTATGAATCTACAACATGTAAGTAAAATATTGACTGATTTCATACTTTGTGATGCTAAATACTTTTATTAAATAACATTTAATCGGACATTGATTTTTTTTTTTTTTAACTTTTTATCAAATGGTTCACCATTTTAGTAATTAAAAAGAATATAAAGGGAGGAAATAGATGATTTAACTGATATCAAATATTAAATATAAAAAAACATATAAAATAATCACGGTGTTTCGAAAAGACAAATGAAAGTATTAGATAAATTTTTTTTACTTACATTATATTGGATACAGTTTTTTGACTTACGTTATATTAGATAAAGTTTTTTACAATATTATGGTATATTAAGATAAAGTTTTTTTTTTATTTACCTGTAACACAAAACAAACACACACACCATTATAAAGTTTTTTTACAATATTATGTTATATTAAGATAATTATAATATTTTTTTTGATTTTCTGCTGGATTGCTTCAAGATCTGTAAACACAAAACACACATATACACACCATTATATTAGATACAGTTTTTTGACTTATATTATATTAGATAAAGTTTTTTACAATATTTTGTTATATTAAGATAAAGTTTTTTTTTATTTACCTTATTGCGACCTGAAATTTATAATTTTCAGCAGGAATATAAGCTGGATTGCAAGCTGCTTCAGAATCTATAAACACAAAACACACACACACACACCATTATATTAGATACAGTTTTCTGACTTACATTATATTAGATAAAGTTTTTTGACTTACCTGTGTTTTTTATGCAGGGCCAGAAGATGATATGGTGATTGTCACTGGTTGATTCGGTGGTGTAGTGATGGCTGATTCACCATGTATTGTTGGCTGTTTCGTGTCCTGTAGACACAAAACAAAGACAAAAAAATCAATTAATGAGTCTGAATTTGTGTATACTTTGCAGTTTTTTTTCTCTTTTATTAAAGAGGGAGATAGAGAGCGAGTTTGTGTATGTATGTAAACACAAAACACACACAACACACACACCATTAATCGCATACATTTCCATTTTCTGTATGAAAAAAACACACAAAACACACACCTTTAATCACGTTTTGTATTTTTCTTCAGGAACTGAGAAATATATTTGATAAATTAGGGTTTTAGATGGTTGATATAAATAAGTAGGTAGAGAGATATCGGAAATAATAACAAAATTTTGATTTCAAATTGTGTTTGACATTCTGATAAGATCAACTTATTGTTATTCTAATCCACAATTTATTGGCATGTTTTTAATATTTTCCTATAAATTAGGTTTTGACTGTTTCATTTATCTTAGACCGAATTCTTACTTATCTTTATATACTAAATATTGACAGGATTAGATTTCAAAGCATAATCTCATTGTACATGATGCAATAAGGATTTGTACCTCTTAAATTTCAGCCTTTGACATAATATATATATATATATATATATATATATATATATATATATACGTAACCAAACTTCTGACCGACGCCATGTACAAAAACATCGATCCGCACCGTCGCATCTTCACCCTCCTCTCCGCTTGACCGCACATTCACGGATCCACCGATTCTCCTTCTATTCTAACCGCAAATCTGCCTTCCTCAAGAAGAATATTGGCGACACAAAAAAAAATCCTGATTTTGCAGCCAAAAAATTTGCCAATTTATCTTTTGTCCCTTGAGGATTGATGGATTTTCTTTGATTCTTTACCAGAGGCTAGACTTCACATACTTTTGATGTCAATCTTATGCCTCCCTTGATGTTTATTATCTCGTTCCAGTCTCCATTTACATGCGTTTACTTGTGTCAATATGTATAAACGACGATCATTGTTTCTGATTATACCGTCATCTCCTTCTCTGTTCTTCTTTTTGTTAATTGGGTTATCAATTTTAGGGTTCCTTTCTTTCTTTTTCTCCCGTTTTTCCAATTTATGGACTTTTAGCATTTCATAGTCCAAGTAAGATACACGTACCTCCGATTTCTCTCCCTACTTCCAGTGGCACCCTAATCGGGGAAAATAGAGGCAAAAACAGAATCCTACCAAGCATTCAATAACACCTTTATCTCTCTCTAGAAATGCATCGTCTCACTGGTTCCGGAACTTGTTCTTCGATGCTCATCCATCAATGAAAACTCTTTTCTTTTTGATTCATCACACCGTTTGGTCAAAGATTTTGAATAAAAATATTATTGACGGTTCAATTTTGGATACAATTTAAGTAATTAACGTCCGTGGATTTAAAGTGTTTGAAACTTTGAATTAATCAATTACGTGCTTCAGTTCATTCACTTGATTTCTTATTTTTGTTGCAGACATGTACTGCACATGTCAAACGTTTTACAGATCACACCAGTTTCCCCACCAGTAATCTCAATCTCAAGGAAGAAAACCAGATTCTGATGTTTATCCTTAATATCGGGTTTTTGCATGCTCTATTTGTAGTTTTGAATTGTTTTTATTGAACCTCATTGTGTTTGTTTCATTATAGTATGCTTTGCAGTTGTTATCTCTCGTTAATAGTTAGAAAGTATAAATTTATAAGAAATAAGTATTAGAAATTGATGGTCTTTTCTGCAGATAGTTTATGATGTCACTGATTTAGAAAGTTCAACTATGGTCCAAATTTTAATGGTTCGCATAGGTTCTTCTATCAGATTAGGACGACCTTCTTGGGTAACAATTTCTGATTTGAGAACGGTTTTTTTTTTTTTTTTTTTTTTTATGTTTGTGTGTATGGGGAATTTAGCTTCTGAATATGATTGTAATTGCATAATGAAATGAAATTTAGGGTTTTTATTCTGCTTCAAAAATCTGTGGTTTATGTTATTATTTTTTATTTTATTTTTTGTTTAATTACAAAATCTGCATAGGGTAAAAAGGGTGAGTTTAGATACTCTTTACTTGCCTACATCATTTTTTGCTTGATTTGTTTTGACTTGTCAACACTCGGTTGTAAGGTTAAACTCCTAGAAAGAATTCCATTACTTGTAAGGGTCATGTGGGTTACGTCTTTTATGATAAACTCATAATTTTACTTGTCCTTTTTCTTGATGGAAAAGAAATTTCAAAGGAAGGGCCCAAAATGTGAAAAATTCTCACCTTTAGCTAATCTTGCAGTTGCATCAACCCCAGTTTTGTTTTGTTTTTTTTTTTTTTTTTTTTTTTTTTTAATGTTTTGATGCCTTGTTGGTTTAAATTGGTGTTACTGGATACACATTATTAGGTGTTATTTTCTGTTAATTTGCCAAACATATAATTTTTGTTTTGTCGCAGAGTATATGTTTCCTGATTAAAAACATTACCCAGTAAAAGAAAGTTATAGATACCAACATTATACCAGAATGTGATGAAATCTATCAATTGTTCCAGAAAGATAATCATCTATGTTGTATGTGGTTGCTTGTTTGTGCGAATGAGATGTAGGTATTTGATTTTGCAGGTGGTCCCTGGATAGCGGAAGAACATAGAATTTTACTAATGCGGCTGCAGAATCTTAGGAAAACCAGGTGATATTTATTTTGATAGTGACCAAAAAACTGTTTTTTTTTTTTTTGGTTAATTCTTGCTTTAAAATCCATTTCAACATTTTCTAATTCTGGTTTTGTGTTTTCTTCAACATATGATTGTAGGTTATCTTTTATTAAGAGAATTGGTTTCAAGTTGAAACCTTATGTGTTCTTTCTTTAGTTTTCATATCTAAGAAAAGCTACAATTTTGTTAGTCGAAATTCAGTTTGTTCTTTCTGTAGTTTGCATCATCTATTTCACATTCTCAAGATGCACAGTTGCAATGTTTTATGCATGTCATTCGGTCATCTAACACTCCACAGTTACATGCCAAGCAATAAAAGCACAAAGGTTGACAGATGTTGAAGCCTTTGTAAAGTTACAGTATATGAAGGAAAATTTAAGCGAATTGTAAGTCGAAGGATGTTTTTTTCAACTTGGATCCGTTTTATTATTTTTAATTACAAACTGTCAGTGTTACCTTCCTTATCTAGCAAGAATACATTTATTATTTGTTAGTAATCTCGCTTATTTACTTTAATCTGTTTATTTTAAGTGAATGATCTATTAAATGAACTTCTGTATTGGACTATTGGCCGTGCTTTAGATGAGAAATTGCAACGGGGGCATATTAGAACTTGCGTAGATTTACACATGATATCCAACGTCATGAGTTTGACTACCCAAAACAGCAATTTAATGTATCAAGTTTTTGTTATAATATTTTTTATCTTTACTTTTTAAAAGAAAATATAATGTTGATGAAAAACCAATTATTCAACCTTCAGGTATGCTTATTTAAAACATTGAATGACAACATTTGATTGTCTATGCTAATGTCCAAGGATGTCTGGACCATTCTAAATAAAGGTTTATGTTACATCCAATTTTGAAAACTTTGGGATTAGGCAAATAACTGCAACTTTAATAGTAAAACATTTACATAACAAGGCGTAGTTTTAATTTACAGCACATAAATTAACTGTGAAGGTTTTACAAAACACAAGTGTCAACATGTCATCAAAGAAGTCGATCCCATTTGAGCATCCCCAAGAGGGTGAACTTAAGAAGTCCAAAAAAATAGTTCATAGGCACTATAGACATAAACAACGGTTAAGTATTATTAGTGGTTGGATGTTCAACCAACTCGATTCCAAATAGGTTATACCCATATACCCATTACCATGTCTCTTAATTTTAATTGTTTGTATGGGCGACTTTTCCAAGTATAACGACTTAATAGAAATAAATAAAAGTAGGATGCTATAAGACATAAACATATGAAAGTGCGTTGTTGTTTCTTGCATCTTTGGACCAACCATGGAATGTACATATATTTCCCTACCAATAATAGGGAGCTATATTGCTTTAATTCCATCTATGTATGCCTTTTTTTTGTCATTTCAACTCCATACATGCATCTGGGCATATGTATGTATGTATTTATTTTCTTCTTGTTTTATCTAAAGATTTAGTTTAGGACATGGATTTAACATTTTACCTTAATTTTTTAAAATACCAAATTATCCTCCATGGACCGTGCTTAGCACGGGCCTCAAAATATATATAAGTCAAAATATGCTTGTTGTTTGGATACTTGCATGTCTCATTCTTACTACTTGAGATTGGTATAATTATTTGTATAAAAATGTTGAAATCACCATTTTTTTTTTTTTTTACAAAAATCGTGACCTATGAGATTGGGATGGTAAAGTTGACAAACATAAACTATTTTGTGAAACGAATATCAATCGGTAAAATATGAGAAGTACAAACTACAAATTTTAGTAATTTTTGCTAAAAATAGTTTTTCTAGTAAAAATGGTCATATTTTTAGTCATCACTGTTTTGGTGGGTTAAAGCCCAAAAATATTATGTTTTAACAACATATATTACCAGACAAGATTAAAACTTGATATTTATATAAAGTTTATATAAATAGTTTACACAAAAGCATACAAGGCAAATTATAAATGGTATAGTTTGGGTGTCATAAAACACATGTCATAAATTTTCAATAGTGTAATTATTTGATTAAACAAGAAAAGGGGAGTCGTAGTTCACGTAAATCTGTTAATGCTCTAGTGAGACATTCTCTTAACCGTACCTACCTAGCGTACACCTTAAGTCATGTATTATAACCAGAGTCTCCTGGAGGGAGAGCGAGATAGTTGTGTATAGATCTATATGGGATTGACAACCCCACACCTAAGTTGTTCGCTACAGTTAGACGGGCCAGTCTAGGGTGACAAATATCTACCAATTCTGACGCCTGAAGAACGTCGTACATGCATAACAGTCACATTAAGCATGGTTATAATAACTCACATAGGGATTAACAATACTATCTTGGTTTACGGGAAGCTTACACTTCACCGGTTTTATAAAAATATAAAACTACATACTACTTTTCAGTACACTATTTCTTACATTTCTGGTCTTAGGGTTTAATACCACAGCTCACATATAAGAAAATATCGGATTTTCTGGAAACATACATACTTATTCACTCCACAGGGATAAAGATACAAAGGACATTCATACATTTTTAGTCTTGGTTATTAGACTAACAACCTATTTTATAGAAAATATCAAATTTTCTGGAAACATACAAAAATCATTTTAAAC